TTAGATTTAATTTTATTCATAAATATAATAGAGCTTAAAAGGGATCTATCTCCCAGAAATTGTTCTCATAAATCTGTCTACAGCTACCTTCCAGCCTAAGGAAAAGATACCCTTTGAAAATATTACTTTTAGCTAGTTCATTCTGAAAAGGCTTATTACCATTTGGAATATTACTTAACTCACAGAGCCCATTGGAGCCGTTACTGGATCCACTAAGTGTTGATTGGATTTAATTTCTATAAATTCTTTATGCAGAAGACCTAGTTATCTATCCATACAAAGGCAAAGCCTTAAAAGATAGTATTTCCACACCTATGGATTGTCCATGAGTATGATTATTACATCTCTAAAACAGGTATAATCAAAAAATATTTGACATCAAATACTAAATGGAAAAGACAGTTCAAATCATATGTACTGGGAACAAGATTTTAAAGGAAGACAAAGTAGAAGAAATGTATTACTTGGACAAGCAACTGGTCTAGCAGACAACTAACATTCCCTGCAGCTCTGAGAGTTTCCTACTTATAATCTGCATAATAAAATACCACAAAGATTATACTTCTAGGTGTAACTAAAATACACTGGAAATTATTTCTCTGAAAATAATTAAAGAACATGATTCAGGTGAGAGGAAATAACTTGTATCACACAACAATCATCTAATTATGCACCTATGCCTTACTTTTTAATAAACTAGTTTACTAAAATAGCTCCAGAGAAGACTGAACTGTGTTTAGACTATGAAAGGATACTACCCAGTTCAATTAAAAGTTGGCTGAAAACTACCACTTTCGCAACTAATTGCACACTTGGCTGTATTACCATTGTTTAACAGGCTAACAATTAAGCAATGCCTGACTGCAATATCTTAAAATAAAGGTGTATTCTTAAGCCTGACTGAACCATTTCTTCTGTCCATCAGTTGGTCTTATAATTAAAAAAAAAAAAAAAAAAAAAAAAAAATTCAGCCCAATGTGTCAGCACAGACAGGTTAAGAAACCCTGGTCTGTGGTGTCTTTTTTTTTTTTTTAACCAAACCAGAGCACACACCTTTACTATCCTCGAAATGTAACAAACAGGGTAAGAAATCCTCCCCGCCCCACCCCATCCCAGGAAAGCATTTAATACGCCCCCAAAATCTGTGGTGTCTTCATTGCCAACTATTTCGCACATGTCGCTGTCGCTATCGTCTCCTTTTAGTCTTCCCTCATCCTTTAGTCATCTAGTATTAACTGGCCACATATGAGGCACCTCCAAACTCCATCCCTTTCTCATTCTACTCTAAATTCATTTCCTCGTGCAGACTCCTGCTGCATTCACGGGAGCAATGTGCAGTTTACCCTAGCCTTCAGGCTTCCTAGTTCTTGTTATTCTAATTATTTGTGGTACTTACTGTGGCTGCCACACAAACAAGAAGGCAGCAAGCAAGAACTATCTACCACTAGACTGGCAGAAAATAATACAGAATCAAAGAACATATGAATTTGAAGGGAATGTTAAAAACCTCTTGACTAGAAGAGATCCCACGTCATCCCCAGGTGCTTCAAAGGTTCTGTAAGCACTGCATTAAAATGTCCCTTTTTACAGAAAAATGACCAACTCTTGATTATACGAGATGTCTGGAGAGTGCAGTAGAGACGTAATGGGCAAAAGCCTGGCTCAGGCCCCAGCTCCTAACCTTGATAAACAGCTCTTCTGTCATCTGCATTATACACCGGAGCATAAAATAAAATTTTATTTGCAAAAAGCGTTCTGCATCAATGGTTATACAAAATGTCACATATCCATATAATAGAATGTTACTCAACTATAAAAAGGAATGAAATGCTGATTTATGCTACAACATGGGTAAAGCCTTGAAAACATAATAACTGAAAGAAACCAAAAACAAAGGGCCATATATCACATGATTCCATCTAAATATATGAAATATTGATAAAAAGTAAATCTAGGGAGACAAAGTAGATTAGTGGTTGCCTGGAGCTGGGGTTAGAAATGGGTATTGACTGCAACTGGGCAACAGGGGTCTTCTTGGGGAGATGGAAACATTCTAAAAATGACTATGGTGATGACTGCATAACTCTGTAAATTTACTAAAAAAAAAAAAACCATTGTATAGTACACTTAAAACAGGTGAATTTTATGGTATGTAAATTCTACCTCAATGAAACTCCTACATAAAAAAATAAAGAGGGTTCTGCAGATTAAAAAAAAAAAATTGGGAAGAATTATTGCTCTTCTCCAAGCCCTTTGTGTTTTTATATATGCAAACCGAGATCCAGAAGTTAGAGAGGCTTACTAGCATAGTTAAGACTAAAGGGCTGGTCTCCAGAATTGAACTCTGAGGTCTCATTCCACTTCACATCATTTGGAAGTGTCATTTAGCATCTAAAGAAAACGTAAATACTTAATTTGTGCCGATAAATAGGTCAAGATTGTCAGGGGTTCTACCCAAAACAAAGAGTAAACATCTTAACAAAAATGTTAACGATCTATAGCAGCCTTAGGTAGCCCAACCATGCCAAGACTTCAAGATCCCACAGCTTTAAAAGGCATTCTGGTTCTGAGTTCGCCAAACACTATCACGTGCCCAACTTGCCCACAGACTTCTTAAACTGCATTTTAAAAAAATCACTAGCGCAGTACGCACAGACCGAGATATGGCACAGAGGTGAGGTCACTGAAATCTGATAACAGGACATCCCTGGAAGCACACTTAGAACTATATGTCTGTCTGGAGGCTCGGGGGCCAGAGCCGGGCATATTACTTCACTCCGTTAACGTTTATTTCACGCAAAGAAAATAATGAAACTAAGCAAGCTACCAAACCGTGCCAACCCGCAGAGAGGGCCCGCAGGACGCACACAGCCGCGGCGGTGGCTGTCGCGCGAGGTCCGAGAACGCACTGCCGCGGAGCCCGGCGCGCCAACGCCTACCTAGGCCGCGTGACCCGGCCGGCCGCCCGCAGGTGCCAGGCTCCGCGACGCCGGCTGCCCGGTCGCAGCGCAGAGCCCAGGACCCGGCCGGGCCCGCGCAGCTCCCCGCGTCGCCCGGCCGCGGGGCCTCGGGCACAACCGGCCCACCCGAGCGCGCGGACGGCCGCGGCCGGGCAGGTGGGAGGTGCGGCAGCCACGGGGAGCCCGAGCGCGCGGGCGGCTGACGTACCTGGGGCGTCTCAAGCCCGGGTCCGGCGGGCCCGAGATAACGGCGCCTCAGCGGCGAACACGCCTCGGCTCTCCATTCGGGGCTGTTTACTCCCAAATCTCGCGAGACCGCGCGACTAGGGCAAGGAAGCCCACGGCTGGGAGCGTCGACTCCGCCGCCCCTGCGTGCCCTGCGTGCTCCGCGCCTGCGTACGGGTTCTGGACGCCGAAGATCGCGGGTCCGGGCCAGGAGGACAGGCGGAAGTCTCGCGACATTTGCAGCCCCGGGCCGGGGGCGCGGTGGGAGCGAAGGGGCGCGGCCAACTTGCCGGAACACGGTGAGAGGCGGTGGGAATGGACTGTTTTAATGCCCGGGCTTGGGACTCGCCGGGCCTTGAGGCCAGAAGCTCGGAAAATGAGCACAGGCCTGAAGGCGGTTGAGCTGGGCCAGGTTCTAGAAAGGACGACCCCGGCGGAAAGCTCCGCCCTCACTAACATTTTGCCATGAACGTGTTGAAAGCTAGTTTCTCCAATGCAGGTGTCCGCGTCCAAGTCAAGCTCATGGTTCTGCCAAGCTGGGGCGGCTTGGATTCCACACCCCTCGCTTACTCGGACATCTCTATCTTACCAGTGTGGCAGCTAAGGTGCCGGAGAGGGCTCGAATCCTGAACAGCCTGACTCCTGACCTGACCTGAGAATCCCCAAATCCCGTCTCCACGACCTTCTAAACCCCTCACGGCCTCCGCTTGACTCTTGAGAGGGCCTCCCGATAACCCAGCGCACACCTGCTGCCAGGGTTACCTGTGCCTGGGGAAACAGGGAGAATTTCTGTAGTGCTAAATGTTTACCCTTCTGAAGAAACAAGGATCCGCGTGCTGAAACTCTGAAAAGTTTGCATCTCCAAAAAATATCTGGGTGACTCAGATACTAGCATCACAAGTTGTTTCAGTCTAAATGTTGAGCTGGCCCACACTTGGTACTGGGAAAACTGAGGGGATGGAAGCATTTCTAGGTAATGCTAGTGGACAATGATGTGCTATAGTCAGAACTGTTTTGTATCTTTTCTGAACTTTCCGCCGCACCACGGTAATGCTGAATGGCACCAATGACAAGAAATCACAGTGTTTCATCTCCCCTTTAACATGATTTTACAAAAGTGATTTAAAATAATGGATAAATGCAGAATTACAATTACCATATCCCACTGCAGACATCTACTTTGTAATTTTGAGCAAGTTGTTTAATCAGCTTCCTCACCGCAAAGATAGGGATGGTGACACTTAAAGGATGAAGGTTAAATGAAACACACACATAATGTGCTTGGCTCACGTAAGATTCAATAAATGGTGGTGGATTCTTAAGTCCTTTCCTGTCTCAGATCTCATACGATTTTATTAAATTTTTCAGAGAATTCTTGACTTTTTGCATTTGCAAACCTTCAAAATGAGGCACTTTCTTCTGCCACCACATAATACATATTTGATCTTAAACTTGACTGTCATTCTGTTCTAACTTTGGGTAAATTAATCTTGTTCAGGGTCCTCTTAACAGCCCTGTAGTCACTATGCCACTGAATACACAGCCCTGCTGTTAGGAACTGGGGTAGACTAGTGAATTGCAAACACCCTTGTCACGTGACAGTGAAGCCCCGAAGCAGGGAAGAGAAAAATACAGCCAGTTCCTGAGAATGCCTATGAATTGAAGGGGGCTCGGCATGGGAGAGAGAAATCACTTGGAGATCTATCAAAAAAGGCAGACCTACAGGATCCTGGTCTACCACCAGTGGTTTTTCCACCACTCTGGGCTCTAAAATAACTTCTAAACTCATGCACACGTACAGAATAAAGCACTTGCAATTCCATAAGGTAAATCTTTATTCAAATGAAATGTTATTTTAAAGAATAACAGCTGATGGTGCAGGCACCAGCTGATCTGGGGAAAGCCTCCTTGGAGTTGTGGCTTCTGGGGTCAGGACAGCTGATCTGCCAGTGAAAGAGATCCCAGAGGTCCTAGTGGACCTGTGCAGCTGGCCACACTACGTGCAGGCAGTTTTTTGGGCAAGGGCAGCTTTGCCAAAAGCTTCAAAATCTTGGAGGCAGACACCAAGGAGCGCAAGATCATGCCTAAGTCTCTGCTGCTCAGTCCACCCCAGAAGGAGAAAACGTCCATGGAGATAGCCATTCACTGCAGACTCGCCCAACAGCACGCCTTAGATACCCACAGCTTTTTTTGAGGACATCAACTTCATGTTCGTGGTGCTGGAGCTCTGCCACCTGAGGTCTCTCCTGGAGCTGCACAAGAGGAGAACAGTACTGACCAAGCCCGAGGGCACTACCGCCCGAGACAGACCATCCTTGGCTGCCAGTGCCTGCACTGAAAGCAGGTTATTCACCAGGACCTCACACTGGACGTCTTCCTGAACGAGGATCCGGAAGTGAAAACAGGATATGGGACTGGCAACCGAAGTTGAGCACGACAGGGAGCAGTGAGAGACGGATCCTGAGTGGGATTCCTAAGTACGTAGTTCCGGAGGTGCTGAGCAATAAAGGGCAGTTTTGAGGTGGACGTGTGGTCCACTGGGTGCATTGTGCATACCCTGCTAGCAGGCAAACCACTTTCTGAGACGTCTTGTCTAAAAGAAACCTACCTCCAGATTAAGGAGAACAAACACAGCATTCCCCAGCCCTTCAACCCCGTGGCCACCTCCCTCATCCAGACAGAGACTTCAGATGGATCCTACTGCCCACCAACCACTAACGAGCCATCTCCCCACCCCTGCCTCATCATTCCACTGAGGTTCTCAAGCCCTCCCAGCAGCCTGCACCCCAGCAACCGGAAGCCTCTCATGGTCATCAGTAAAGGCATGAAGAACCTCCTGCCAAACCACCCCAGGAAAAAAAGGAACCAGAGGCTTGGGAAACAGGCGAGACAGTCGATAACACCTTGGCGGCACGCGGTAGCAGCCACACTGCGTCAGCGTCTCCGGGCCCTCCGAGTGAGGGCTGCTGAGGCAAGAGGAGGCTGAGGATCCCACCTGCACCCCATCTTCTGGGCCAGCAAGTGGGCGGCCTATTCTGACAAGTACGGCCTCAGGTATCGGCTGCGTGACAACAGCATGGGGTGCTCTTCAATGACTTGACATGCCTTATCCTCTACGATGACAGTGACAGCCTGCAGTACAGCCATCCCACCTTATCCAAGAGGACATGTCCCAAGACCCCCCGTGGATGCCTGGAAACTTGAGTAGTGCCGAGCTTGACTGCTGTCCATCAGAACACGCCTCTGATCACGTCTCCCACCCACGAACTGCCTCTTCCACTTAACTCCCACTTACCATGCACGTGGCTGTGACTTGGGCAGTTTGAGGTGCGACAGCAAAACTAGAATAAATTTCTTTTTTCTTCACAATGTCATGGACAGAAGATTCGTTCTTACTGTAGAACTTAGCAACCTCAGCATACATTTTTTTTTTCCTTTTCTTATGAAGTCTAGAACTTTCACCTTTTCACTTAAAAACAGCATTTTATAGCTTCTCTTTGGCATGTCCGAATTGCCAGTGTCACCATTCCTGTGCTTTGGGGCCGTTATTAAGTAAAATAAGGGTTACTTGAACTCAAAGCTCTGATAGCTGAGCGGCTCCTAAGTGACTAACGGGTGGGGAGCACTGACACGTGGATACACCGCACACAGGGAGGAGTCACACCCGAGCAGGAGGGAACAGAATTTCATCATGCTCCTCGGGAGGGTGAGCAATTTAAAACTTACGAGTTTATTTCTGGAATTTTCCATTGAATATTTTCTGACCACAGTTGACCAGGGGTAACTGAAACCTCAGAAAGTGAAACCACGGATGGGGGCAACTACTGTATACGGAGCGTGATGGCACCAAGCCCGACCTCACCGCGAGTTCCCATCCCAACTCCTTGAAGATCGCCCTCCTCAAGTATTTCCGAAATCACATAATCGAGCAGCCACCGAAGGCAGGTGTCAGTACCATGCCACGAGAAGGCGACGAGCTGGCCCGGCCACCCCACCTGCGCCCTGGTACCGCACCTGCAGCACCGCCACACTGCACCTCTGCAACAATGCTGTGCAGATCCACTTCTTCCGGGACCACACCAAACTCATCCAGTGGCAGTCGTGACCCATGTAAACAAGAAGTGGGACTGCCGCATGTAGCACCTGAGCCTCCTAGAGGAGTATGGCTGCTGCAAGGGGCTGGCCTGTGGCTCCACTACACCCGTTCCGTGGTGGATGAGCTGCTACCACCTCAAGGCCTCTTCACAGCCCCCTCCCCGCTGGATTGGTGGCCCTCTCGATCCCACCAGCACCGGGACCTGGTTTGCTCCCTTGGTGCTATTTTTGTCACGTGCCCCTAACCCTGGGAGCTGGGCGGAGAGCTAATCATCCTTGCAGGTGGGGGTTGCTATGTAAGTTATTTCTGGATGTTTGGTGTGGAGTCAATAGCCTGTGCCCCATCCCTCCCAACTCCACCATAGGAATTACACAGTATTTCTGTCAAATTTGGGGCTGTCCTTTCCTTGGCTTTATACACATTAAACATATGTGAATCTTAAAAAAAAAAAAAACAGGCGAGCCAATACTGAGACAAAGAGAGACAAATTGGTTTTGGAGGACACAGAATGTAAACACAGGACATACCACCTAAGCCTCTGGTTCCCATATATGACAAGATTGTAAGTAATTGAGTTTAGGAAAAAACAAAAAAGTCTCCTAAGAGCTGTCTCTATTTGCTCTCTTTTTCTTCCTATGCTTTCTTGAACCCATGACAATCTAGCTTTTACCCCCACCACTCGACTGAAATGGCTCATGGGAAAATCCCCAGTGATCTCTACGTTGTTAAATTCAACGATCAAATCAACCTTTATCTTACTCAACCTAACAGGAGAATGATCAGGAAATCAACGTGGGCTGGGCGTGGTGGCTCACGCCTGTAATCCTAGCACTCTGGGAGGCTGAGGCAGGAGGATTGCTTGAGCTCAGGAGTTCAAGACCAGCCTGAACAAGAATGAAACCCTATCTCTACTAAAAACAGAAAAATTAGCCAGGCGTGGTGACACATGCCTATAATCCCAGCTACTTGGGAGGCTGAGGCAGGAGGATCACTTGAGCCCAGGAGTTTGAGGTTGTGGTGAGCTATGATCACACCACTGCACTCTACCCATGGCAACAGAGCAGGACTCTGTCTCGAAATAAAAAATAAAAAAAAAATCGACTTAGTAGCTTTGAAGACTTACTAGACAGCCAAGCACAGTGGTGCTTGCCTGTAGTACCAGCTACTCAGGAGGCTGAAGTGGGAATCACTTGAGCTCAGGAATTTGAGTCCGGCCTGGGCAACAAAGCAAGACCCCTATCTCAAATTTTTAAAAAAGACTTACTAGGCATATTGTGTGTTACTGAAGTATCAGCTTTTAATGAATTATCACCACAGGTGTTCACAAGTTAATTTTTTGGAATCATTCTATAAGAGGAAAAATGTATCTCTCATTCCAAACAACCAACTTACAAACATTTGGAATAAAACCTCTTCCAAAGGAAACAGAAGCAACTGCTTTTATTGTTAAATTTTCAATTCACAGATTAATTTTCAAAGGTTCATATTTCCCACATTCTTAATCAAAAACCCTGTCCACAGTGGTCCAATTATCTTTCAGATGAACTCTGAGGGGGTAAAAAGCAATTTATGAAAGCTAGAAAACCTAAGGAAATTCTCAGTCTTGATATTTCACTAAAGCTACGGACAGCTCTGCCCCACATCTGCACCAGTTAAGCACATTTACCTACGTCCTCCCAAGGGGAGACTTTTAAAACATCACTGACGAGCTTTGTTTACTTATTCTCATCACGTTACAATGATTCCATGACAAATTTATAAATCTAAGACACTACTGGACCACATAACCTTACACATGACTATCTGGCAATATTTTTACATGAAGTTGTTACTGTTCATTACACATCAGCTAATGTTCGTGTCAATGTGGCATGAAGTCAAGAGGATTCCAGGATAATTCCATCGGACCTTTGGTGTTACACAGTATCTCCAAGTGTGTAGTTTTTTATATCTTTTGTTTTGAAGACATGATCTAGGAGTGGAAGAGCTTCTGAGGTTGACCACTAATCTAAGCCAAGTCACATCTGGAAATACTGTAGGCAATATCCTGGGGAAAACTGTGTGCATAACGTGAAAGTGTGCTAAGGCCTGCTCGTAACAGAACATCACCTCACGAGAAAACGATGCACAGAAGTCCAGGCTTTCAACCAACTTACTAGCTTCTGCATCAGCATCACAATGCTAAGCTCTGAATTTTAAGTATGCACATACTGTCATATTCATATAGTGATTTACAGTTGTCAAAGCACTAGGTATGTGGTCCTCAAAAATGGTTGGTTTTACAGGACCTGAACTAAAGACATTTCACAGTAGGTTTCAATGCTAACCCACATTGTGGGGGTTTGTGCATAATTATCTTCACACCAATAAAATATTCACTATAATGCATAAATTCATTACATGAACCAAGAATGAGCTTCTAACTTATTATTTCGACAGTACATCATATCACACACACAATTTGTCCATATTTAACTACTATTCCATAAATACTTGATGTTTATATTAAGAATGCTACTGGAATGGAATAATATTACATAGAAAAATGTATGAAAACCAGATCTAACAAGCTCTATAGGGCTAAATTTCAGTTATAAAATGGGTCACAGGCCGATAAATCACTACTTAGCCACAATAATTATTTTATAAATCAAAAGATGACTGCAAGTTACCCATTACATATCCAAATCGAGGAATGAATTCATTCCATAGTAGATTTGGGAAAAAAAAAAAACCAAAAACATAATGTAGGAAGTAATATTATACATGGCAAACCTATAGACAAAATTTGGTGGGCTTGTTTAGTATGAAAAGGAATAATCTAGATTTTTAATACCCCATAAGTTTCCATGTTAAGTCATCTTGACAAAAAAATCTTTGTAACGTAACCATAAAGTTGTTCACACTGACACACACACACACAGAGTTCCTCTAATGAAATATCAGTTGAAGTGCAGCATTTTTATAACAGACAAACAACTAGAGCTATGCAATATAATACACACAGATTTTTACGGCTAATATCAGCAATCTTAGTTATAAAATAACACTCTCAATAGTTTTTTCCCATGAACATTTGAAAACCATAATTCATCCAGTGAAATAGGCCATTTTCCTTAAAAAAAAAAAAAAATCTGAAATTTTAAGAGCTGACGAGTGGTAAGTATATTTCAATATTAGATTGCCGTGGCTCCTGGAACAACAGAAATTATACAATGTTTGACCAGCATGGAAATTCATTTACGTTTCCTCAGTCAGCTCCTATGCCTCGGCTGTTAATGACTCTTGTGCTGTCCACATGTCCCTTGAGGTTTTCCAGGGCACTCTCTGAAAGTATTATGCTTGCTCTACAAATGATGACTCAAGAGTATGCTAAATAATCAGTAACAAAAGAAAATACATAAGATAAATTAAATATGTTTGTCCAAATGTCAGAATACTGTAGATTCCCAAGAGCTGGCGAGACTTCTCAAACAAGCACTCAGACTTACGCTTTGCGGGACAAGGCCTCCTTACGTAATGAACGGTTGAGAATATTTGCTCCCCACACCCACAGCCATTCAGGCATATACTGTGCAAAAAGAAACTAAAAATGAAAGACACAAAGGTTATAAGGTTAGAACCCAAAACCATCAACACCAAAAGAACAAGTACACAGATCAGGGTATGATTTAATCAAACAAATATCCACTAATCACCTTAAATATAACAAAAGAGAAAGCCCTGAGATGCTACAGTATTGAACACCTATTTCTGCATAAGATCCTACCCTGCTACCTGAATAAATGGCACCACTGACTTTCTGAAGCTATAAACCTGAGGATATGTTTTGCTGCTTCCTTTCCTCCAGCCTTTCGTATTCAATCTATCGTCGTATCTTGTCAAGAAATAAATATACACTATCATTCATATTTAATTCACAATCTAAGAGACTAACTGGAATAAATGGCACAAAATAAAACGTCGTATCATAAGTTTGACATATCAAACTTCTTTCTTATAGGCTACAAATTGACAGACAATTGAAATCTTGATAAAATTTAGATTTCTGCAACTTGGGCAAATTGTATTCAGAAGAAATGATCACTACAAAAGTCACAGTAGCAAAAGCTATCAGAGGCCGGGTGCGGTGGCTCACGCCTGTAATCCTAGCACTCTGGGAGGCCGAGGCGGGCGGATTGTTTGAGCTCAGGAGTTCGAAACCAGCCTG